ACACTATATATACTGTATATATTTTGAAGCATATATACAGGACCTAAGACCTAGGATTCAACTTTGTGCGGCAAGGGTCTACAAGGATTCCGCCGGGCCCACGGAACTGCTTCTTTGCCAGGGTGGCCCAGTGGCTGGCACCCGAGAGGGAGGTGCCTTTCTTCAGGAATGGGTGCCACGAACGGGTGGGTCTTGATGAATTGCGCGGCGTTGCCCTTTTGAAGCATTCCCCATGGCCGCCATGGCCGCCCGTAGAATCCATTGAGCTCCTGGCGATCTGCGAAAAGCCAATCGAAGTCGGATGGATCGCCCTGGGGAGTTGTTCAAGTTTGTTGCCACAGTGATGAGCAGTCATCAACAAGGGCCTACTACCATCAACAGTTGACAGTTGGTTGACATTAGGACTGAGGATATTCAGCAGAGCTAGGACTGATGAAAAGGGTCTTTTCTATGGACCTGATAGTGCCGTGTGTTTCATTGGATCATCTCCACGTCGGTTGGAACGAATGAGTTGGAACCATCACTTGGCAGTACAAAACGAACAGACGATCTACTGTACCATGAAGAGGACACAAAACAGGTTGGTGCTGGTCCTTCTGTTTTTCTCATGTTTTCTCGTTGGTATTGCAGGGGGAGACGCTGTGGATCCTGGAAAAGTTTCCTGAGCATGTCTTCCGAGCGGATTTGCTCCGCCGGATGAGCCAAGGCATGGCTCCGCCGAGTTCGGGGCAGGGGACCTGTTTTCATGAATAGAATTGATAGGAAGAGCACCCAATCAAGTGAAACAACCCGTGGGCAGTGTTTGTGGATGTTTTTCTTATCACTGGAGTAGGAGGTTTCTCTAAGTACAGAGCCATTTGTCACTGGCACTGTACTTGCTCCCATTGGGACCGTGGTTTCTCCAGACAAACAAAGGGCTAGATTGGATAGCCCTGAGCCTCAAGTTGTAGCAAACTCGAAGAAACATAGTTTTGATCTCAGTTTCAAAAGCTCTTGAATTAGATCTTGAAGAAAAGTGCGGTTGTTCTTTTGATGTCACTTGATGGATGACAAAGAAGGAAGGATCGCCCTCCTACTTACGCCCACTACCGAGCGTAGACGAGCACTCGTGGGTCCCCACTTGGCATCGCTGCTACGATGACGTTCTCTTGGACGGGTGTAGGGGTGATAGAATGAACATCTTCAGACACAGGTGCTGGTGATACAACGAGCATGTCTCCTCGCCGCAAGTGCTCAGAAGTCTTAGAGAGAAGGATCCGCGTCTTCCCGTTTCGCACCAACTCTCGACCGAGAATGGGAGGCTTGGCTTTTTTGAGTTCGGATGAGTAAAAAGCATTGGGAGTTTCAGAGGCGATACAGTTTTTTCTTTCGTGGTCAGGGTTGCTCTGGTAGGCTGGGCGATGCACATTTGTCGGGCGTGATGAAACCTTTGTGTTTGCGTTAGACATAGTGTCCATTTTTTGGGGTTGCAAGTGTTGTTGGGTGCGGCCACTGTGCCAGTGGCTCGTGCAGATGACTAGTCGCAAACCGAGCCGAGCAATTCTCCAAGTGCCGCATGCCTTCTCTTGTATGCAGTGACAATCGCTGGTAACCACCAGAATTTCCATCCAAAACAGACCACCTGATTTTGGTGATTTCACCCAGTTTCGTTTGTCATTGTGTTACTGTTCTTTCAGAAAGGCCAATCGCAAGCCTTCAAGAAAAAAAAGATCGTGAATCTTCTTTAGAGCAGGAGGAGTTCATCCACTTCAGACTTGCAATCCCCAAACCCGGACACTGGCAGTTTTGTTTTGGCCCAGGTGGTGGAGCTTGTCGCTTGGCTGAGGTTGCTGATCAGTGATAAGGAGGAGCTTTGCTCTGGTGAAGCCAAAGGAGAAAACCTTGGATGATAGGGACATAGAGAGGAGCTTTAACCGAAGCATGCAGAGGATCTTGCGAGAAACTGCCCAGATGATGTCCCTTTCTTTTCTTCGATCATCATTCTCTTGCAGCCGGCTGCAGCTGCACGTTGGCGTTGGCGCTGGCAAGCCAGCTGTTGCTCTCAGGCTATGAAGTGGACCCTGACTCCGTGGTGAAGGAGGAGCGCATGGCGCCTTAAAAGCAACAAATCCGTCGTGACCCCTCTCGGGCAATGGGGCCGACCAGCTGGATCAGTTCCGCCAGCTCCTGCCCCAGCAGGGGGTTACGGACCTAGGTTGTTTTTGTTCTTCCTCCTTCCTGCAGGTTGGTCCCAAGCGTTTTTGTTTTCCATTTCGGTCATGTACATCTTTTCTTTCTTTCCAGGAAAGAAAACTCTTACACAGGATCTTGGTTGAATCCATGCCATGTTGACACGAAGACAGAGAACAAGACGCACCTTAGTCTCCTTGGATTGAAATCGCTATGTGAACTAAGAGATGTGAACTTCGCCTTCTTCTCTCACCCATCCACTGCTCAAAAGCTGGGTTCAATTCGGCGACACGAGGTCTATGCAGGCGAAGGCAGGGTTGTTGGTTGGAGGAAGTGGTTTTGTTTGGGATCTCCAAGTCTTGTTGGTTCTGTTTGCACAGCTTCGAGGAACCCAAAGCAGCTATGAGCGCCACTCAAGCCTCCCCAAGCGTCAATGGGTACTTCAGGGCGCATGAGTATCGTTTTCATGCCTGTCTGGCAGTTCGGTCGATTTGTTGCCAGATCCACCCGTGCTGAGATTGGATGTCTTAACATGTCTTATATAACAGCTTACACCTGTAGCCTGTAGCACTCCCACTGCCTTTGGTTCCCACTGCCTTTGGTTTGAGGCCCTAAAAAGACTAATCCAATCAGCCCCTGGGCGTGATACTTTTCCTGGGCTCTTGCAGGCCGTGGCAGCTATCAGCAGGTCTCGAGCATGGAGTTTGCTGGCAAAGGGTCTAGCCGGCCTGATTTGAAGAAGCAACAGGTTTTGGCTGCATGTGTTTAGTCCAGACCAAGCCTCCATCCTAAGAGCGATGGCCTCCAGAGCGATGGCCTCCAACCTAAGAGCGACTTGAAGGGAAGAACACCGAACACCAGGGGAATGCACATACCCTTTGACACGATCTACTTGGACAACTTTCGGGCCCTCACTAGTCACTAAGGATGAGCATCAGAGCAGGACCTCGAAGCTCATTGGGTTCTATTCCACCCATTGTTGTACTTTTCCTATTTCAAGGATCAATTTGCTTCTTACAAGGCTTTCCGATTGCCGGATTCAACCCGAGAGTGAGACGGCAGGATACAAAGGGCTCGCTGTCGGGTTGCTTTTTCTTATTCTTGCAAGAAACGACTACCAAGATCTACCAAGTAGGTTTGGTACTGTGAGCATCGCCATTAAGAGAGGTGTGATTCATCGCCAGAAATGGCAACTACGAGAAGGAGAAGGTTGTCGTCAAGTCAGGCCCAGTGCAGCCTTTTGTGGTCGTGCCAGAGCCTCTGTTTAGGATTGCAGCACGGGTTTGGCATGCCACACGCACTTAGCATCACTTTGCTACATTTAGTTGCCAATAATAGCCACCACCACCATGATAAGTCATGGCTGAAGGTAAACTGGCATCCCAGATGGTTTGTTTCTCTCGAGAGCCCCCCCTTCATACAAGTTACAGAAGCATTCTTGGGGCAAGGATTTGGGCCGTCGACGTGCGTCGGACCCAAGGAAGGCGTTTCAAGTGATTTTCCAAACTTGCCCCCTCGTGCCGCCTTGCAATCCCAAGTTGGTCTGTGAGCTCCACAGACTTAAGTTTCGCTAATCTAGAAACAAAATCATTAGTGCGTGAGCTATCCTGCGTCCAGTTACAAGAAGCTTATGTATTGCTAGGAATTAGCGTGGGCCCTACTCCCTTAACTAAGCAGGTGCCTACTTAATTAAGTAGGAGGTTGGCCGAAAAAAAGAACTTTTTTGACAGCCTCCTGTACTGGTAGCAAACACGGGGGAGTTCTTGAACTTCCTGCCGCCCCTGAACTCGGCAGGTTACAGGCGTCCCGTTGGGGAGGGCGTCCAACGGGAGAGTGGGGTGTGGGGGCCAGCTTGGTGCCCCCACGGGGAAGGGGGAAAGCGGGGAAAGGGGAAGGCACACATCCTAGATACTCGGGTCACCATCAGTCATCATGTGTGTAAAGTCAAGCTGTTTGTTTGCAGCATGTAAACTGGGTGCTGGAGTCTACTAGAGCATGTGACGTGTCCAACTTCGGTGTGTTGAAGAGCTGTACTAGAGCTGTACAGGCTGGAGGCCTAAGATGAAAGAAGGACGGTACTTGGAAGTCAATAGATTCCTTCAGTGATGGTGTGATTATAGGCTGGAATATGATTTTTGAATGTTGCTTGATGTGTCTTGCATTTCTTTTGATCCTGGTTGCTGGAGGATGGGATGTTTGGAGCAGATTAATATAGACTATATAGACAAAGGCAGTTTTTTACACTCTGTGTTTAGGCAGTCAATTCATCATTTGGGGGTGAGTTTGCTTGTTTCTGACCCACAGCGTTTTTGTTCCCGCTTGGCCATCTTTTCCTGGACACGAGACATGAGAATACAGGGAATCGCTTGAGAAAGCTCTCTGTTCCACCCGGAAATTCTGGACCGCGGTGTGCGGAGGCTGAGCATGGGCGGCATGGGAGGTCTTGCCATGTTCTTCATCGTTGCCTATTTCGGCACCATGGGGCTGATCACCCACTGGTTCAAGTGACTCGCCAGAAGCCCCTCAGGCCGATGTCGCAACAAAGGCGGCCCGAGTAGGACGAGTAATACAAGAAAAAGGGACCTAATAGCAAAAGGAACCTAATAGCGATGGCCCATGGCCTCCACCTTAGTAGCCATGGCCTCCACCTTAATAGCGATGGCCTCCACCCTAGTAGCCACGGCCTCCACCCTGGTTAGTAGCCATGGCGTCCACCCTAGTAGCGATGGCCTCCACCCTAGTAGCCATGGCCTCCACCCTAGTAGCCATGGC